AGAGAACACCCCATATATATATATATATATATATATATATATATATATATATATATATATATATATATATGCATGTGTTATTCAGTTATATAAAAAAAAGTTTAAAAAAATGTTACTTATATACTTTTATACTAATATTAATATACTTATAACAAATAACATGAAAAACGAACTTTTTAAAAAATATATATATATGCATGTGTTTTTCAGTTATATAAAAAAAAAGTTTAAAAAAATGTTACTACCCAGCAAACACAGAACATAACTGTGATATAACACAGGAGTAACATGTAATATAACTGCTGTTATACATTATTAATATTGAGGTTACTTAATTTCCTTTATAACTTCGATATAACTATATTATAAAACTGTTATGTTATTATGTTATTTACTGGTTAAGTTACATCAACAATATAACAGCAACATAACTTTAATAAAACTTGTTATATAACATGTTATATAAGAAGTCTAATGTTTGCGTTAAATTTCAGTTGTGCAATATTTTTATACACAAATGTAAAATTATATTTTAGGTGTTTCTCGTATGTAAAATGTGATATATGCAAGGATCGCTATCACAATATTGTAAAACTAGAGTTCTTACAAAGAGTCTAATCATAACCTTACTCTGTCAAAGTATTGTGAGAGAGAAAGAAGGAATATTCTCTCTTTTGCGAGTTGTAGGTTAAAATTTGATTACTGATACAACATTGTATCAATATTAATCATATTGTGATTGTCGTGTCAAACATTTACCAACAAATGTGTCATAACATTTTTTGAACGATATAAGAATATATTGTAAATATTACCTATCAAGAGAGAGATATCGTTACGGCGCATCGGCATCACCAGTTCCCGGACGATTATTGAAGTTAAGCATTGAACAACATGATCTAAAAATGGGTGCCCGCCTGACATAGGATCGAAACCACGCGAGTTTCACGAATAATTGAAATAATACGGAATATAAAATATCATTTTTTTTTTATTATTTAAACGAAATAATCATACATTATCACTTATCTGAACCATACTAATGAATAAATCGTTGGAATTCAACAAAAAAAATATATGTGTTAATTTACTAACAAATAACATATAATTTTTATATAACTTTTAGTCACATGTTATTTTTATGTTATATTCACGTTATACAGGGTGTTCGGAAAGTACCGGGACGCCCGAATATCAGGAAAAATATAAGTTTTACAAAAAAATGTTTCAGACAAAAGTTGTGGCGTTTAAAAAGATGTATTTACTGATCACATCAGTTTGACCTTGGGTTGCGTAGCGAAGGTCAGGTCAAGGTCA